TGGTTTGCATGTCTGTAGCATTCCAATACCCTGCACTGACTCTGTTTATATTGCATTGTTTCTACCCAGGCCACCATTGACTTGGTGATTGGCTATGATCCTCCTTCAACTCCACATCCAAATGACCACAGTGGGACCAGCGTGTCAGGCATGGGAGGTAAGCGGACCCTTCTGAAGGCCCAGCCTACCCCGGGGGGCTCTACGGAAGACATACGGAGTCTCCAAGAAGGCCTTCCTTGTCTTTACACTGTCTGTAGCTCCCTGCTCACCTAGACAGGGCCCCGTGAGGCAGGTGGAGCTGCCCTGAATCGGGAGGTAAGACAGTGCCTCACAGTGAGCTGAGTCAGCACATACAGACTCCAGCAGAAGTTTCTAAGCGAGGCTTTGCTATGGATTTGTAGCTTCCACACCAGACAATGTCCCCTGGTTGTGAGGCTCCAGGAGTAAACTCTCCTCTCCTCACGTATCTGTCCACCTCCAAGTGTGCAACCACCAACCAGGCTGTGTTCTTGGCCGCCAGTGTCCTGGTCAGCGCCCTTGTTTTGGAACCTCTTTCTTTCTCTCCCTTGGCCCTGATCCCCAGCCCCACTCCCCACTGCTAGACAGCCCCTTGGTGCTTTAAGCAACTGAAATTTTGCATAACCCACCTTTCTCTCCTTGTTCTCTGACATGCGTTGTCAGTCACTCAGAGCCGTTGGGTGCTGCTCTGGATGGGACTGGGGGCGGGGGCTGGGGGAAGACTTTGGGTCGCAGGTGGACGGAAGTCTGCAAGACAGTCAGGCCTTTCGCACAGCTGAGTTTGGCCTCCTCTTAGCGTCTTTCCAGGGAGATGTGATGCTGAAGTGTCTCTGTCCCTTCGTCCGCCCTGAGAGGTGTCACCAAACCCCTCCCTGCTCCCTCAGCCTTGGCCTGTGCCCCAGAGGAAGGGGCCCCCTGTCCCACCCGCTCACCTGCTGCCTTGAAAGTCTCCTCTTGGGAGGCTCCCTGGTGCTCTTCCTTGCCAGGATTGGCTTCTCAGGTTCTATTTTCTCTTAGTTTCTGCTGGTTCTGAACCTGCCTAAGTGGTCTGCTCAGCATCCGCAGCAGCACCTCCCTTCCTGCCCTGTGGTGTCTCTGCTCATTCCTCCCTGACCTCTTGTCTCACCTCAGCCTGACCCCAGCCATTGCCCGGCTCACCCACACCACACAGACAGCCCAGCATTCAGGATCTGACCCATTTATTGGCCAAGTTGTTGTGCGAGTTCAGCAAGGGTCAGCTGACTCCTCTTCCTTGGGAACAGTGGGGGCTGACGTAGCCCCAGCACATCAGTCACACGTTTTGCAGTCACCCTGTGCCCATCAGTACCAGGACCTGTTGTTAGGTCCTCAGACTCTCAGTCCCACAGGAGCTCTGCAGTGGCTCCTGTGTGCTGCCACCGCAGAGATGACCACAGAGGTCTTGAACAACATACCATCTGGGGCTGCACTGAGTCGTTCTACCCATTTCCTTCTCACCTCCTTCACTGACCATTGCATCGGAAAGAGGTACTTTCTGGCCCACAAAAGGCAGCTCCAACTGGTAGGATATCAGGAGTAGCCTCTGAATTGGGAGGATCAGCATGCCTTTCCTCACACCGACATTTTTCCTAAGCCGGACCCTGTGTATTAGTTTCCTAGCGGTGATAAAGTACCACAAACTGGGTGGCTTCAATAATATAAATTTATCCTCTCACATTTCCATAGCCTATGAGTTTGAAATCAAGGTGTCAGTAGGGTTGGGTCCTTCTGAAAACTTTGAGGGAGAATTTGTTCCATGCCTTTCTCCTCCCTGCTGGTGGCTGCTGGCAGTCCTTGGCCATCTCTCCAGTCCGCCTCTGTCATCACAGTGTCCTCCTGTGTGTCTCTATCCTCATATGGTGTGTGTGTGTGTGTGTGTGTGTGTGTGTGTGTGTGTGTGTGTCTGAATTCACCTCTTATAGGGACTCCAGTCATTGGGATAGGCCCATCCTAATCCAGTGTGACCTCATCTCAGCTTGATTACATCTACAAAGATCCTATTTCCAAGTCAGGCCCCATTCTGAGGTTACAAATGGGCATGACTTTTGGGAGGACCCTGTTCAACCCAGTATCCTGGTGGATAAAAGGCAGTTTCATTATGTATATTCCATTTCAAAAAACTGAAATGTTAAATGAGCCTTTTTGTGTCACCCCTTAGGGAACAAATAACACTGTGGTTCATTCAAATGAAAAGAGTAAACTTGTACTTTATAGTAAATTGGTGTTGTACCATTTCTTAGTATTTATGGAATAAAGAAAACAGTTGCTGGGTTTCTTAACCCCTTGTTAGATGCTGTCATGCTGGGGGTGCCAGATGCTTGACAGTACTGCCCTCCAGGGACTTTCAGTCCAGGTTTGGATATAAGACGTTTTTATCCTGAAGGTGGATCAGACCAAGAGCTTTGGGGTCAGACTGGTCCAGGTTGGATTCTGTGTCTATGGTTAATAATTCACTTAACATTTCTTTACTGTAACATGGGGATATAATAGCAGCACTTACATCATAAAGTTGAGGCAAGGATTAAATGAGATAATGAATATAAAGTACTTAGCCCAGTCCCTGGCATACAGTAAGTGCTATCCTAATGGTGACTGTTATTATTATTATTACTATTACTAGAGGCCCAGAGGGAGAGGAAGGAAGAGAGAGACAGAGGCCTATCCATCTGTTGCTCCACTTATGTATTCGTTGGTTGATTCTTGTATGTGCCCTGACCGGAGAGCAAACCCACAACAGTTGTGGACAATTTGCATATTCTTCTATTATTAGTATAGATGAAAAAAACAAGTCCAGTTGGCTGGCACACTCTGTATAAAGTTGCTTCCTCTAAAAAACAGAGCTATTAGAAAAGAATGTTCTGGTTTGGCTCAGTTGAAATGACTAAATGCTTTCTTTTAAAAATATCTTTAAAAAGATTTTTTTTAATGGACCCAAAGACTTTGAGAATAACCAGTTTATGAAGCTATAGGACGTGGAGGGGAGTTCCTTCTCCTGGGATGGACTGTGTAAGCCCAAGCTCAGAAAACATGCCATTCCCTGGGGCAAAGGCTCCTTCCTGGGAAATGAGAAAAGCATCAACTGGTGAACTTTTAAACCCACTAGAGAGAAAGCCCTTGCCACCGAGGCTCCCTGTGCTCCGGCTCCTCCTCACTGCCTGACTTGTCACCAATGCTCCTGCAGTGCTGGGGCTGAGAGTCACCGCCCTCTTGGGAAGCTGACTCAAAGCGGATCCCCGGCAGCGGGCCAGGTCCTCCTCAGTCCTTCAGAATTCCTGACACTATGGGATGGAGGCAGGAAATGAACCAGAACTTGGGTTCCTTTTGTTTGGATTTCAGACAAAGAATGTTACTAAGTGCTGGCCTCCAAATGAGCTGTGTCTGAAGGGCCATTTTATTTTAAGTGTGAGATGACAAAGGGAATTTCTTTATTTAAAAAAAATAAACAGGCTTCTTTGACCTGGACATGCTGTCTTTGTTCTGTAGGATGAATATTCACCAAGGCTGGGTCAAGGGCAGCATCTGAATGTTGGTTTCATAATCTAACAGAAACTTTTCTTCAGCATTAAAAAAAAATCTTTCAATATCCTAGATCAGTGGTTGGCAAACCGTGGCTCGCGAGCCACATGCGGTTCTTTGGCCCCTTCAGTGTGGCTCTTCCACAAAATACCATGTGTGGGCGCACACCGACAGTGCGATTGAAACTTTGTGGCCCATGCGCAGAAGTCGGTTTTCGGCCTGGGCGAGTCTATTTTGAAGAAGTGGCGTTAGAAGAAGTGGGGGGTGTCAGTTGGCCGGGCGACTGGAGATGCAGCGCAGGCGGGCCATGGGATACACAGCGCGGGGGGAGGTACATTGTTTTGAGGTACATTTGCTGAGGTCGACCCCTTCCAACTCTCCCATCCACACTCGTCTATCTGCAACAAGTATACAAGACGAGTGTGGATGGGAGAGTTGGAAGGGGGTGACCTCAGCGAACGTACCTCAATCAGATTGAGGATGTTTTTAGCAAAGGCCAACTTAGGAGTACTCTAATTAAGTTAATAACAATGTACCTACCTATATAGTTTAAGTTTAAAAAATTTGGCTCTCAAAAGAAATTTCAATCGTTGTACTGTTGATATTTGGCTCTGTTGACTAATGAGTTTGCCGACCACTGTCCTAGACTATCTGGATGTTTCAAGGGAAAACACTTTTTGTCTTAATGTGACAATTTAATTAAACTAATCAAATATATCTTTGAGTACCTACTATGACTCCATGCTAGGGAAGACACACACACACACACACACACACACACACACACGTACGCACGCACACACACCACACCAATTTACAATCTTGGGAGAAGGTAAAACCAACAAACTTGAGACAGAGAAATAACAGCCAGAGAGCCTGCCTCCTGCCATGTGTACCTTAATGAAGTTAAGGAGATGGCTGGCCCAGAATATCTTCCTTTTCCCTTTAGTTGACTCCAAAAAATAACAAGCAAAAAAACCCATTTTTCTATTCTACATAAAAGTAATGAGTAAGTTTCCTCTAATTTATATAGGACTTTTCAAATCTTAAAAATTTGAGCTTGTTGATTTTTTTTTTTAGTACAAAAGCAATACCTGCTTGTAAAAATGTTAATATCACAGAATTATAAGACATAGAAAGTTCACAGTTCCATTTTTCTCAGATAATGACTGTTCACGACTACCCATATTGGTGTTAAAGGTTATCCTCCACATAGTGGGTACTACAAAGATGAAATTTGAGATATTAATGGTAGAACACAGAAGTGAAGATTTTCAGGAAAATTTACCCCTACAAGTGGAAGAAACTTATATGACCATAGGTCTCAGGAACTGAATACCTGAGGGGTTCATGTGAGTTTTTTTAATACTTTTTTTAAAGAGCAGTTTTAGGGTTACCACAAAATTGAGAGGAAGGTACAGAAATTTCCCCAATACTCCCTGCCCTCACACATATATTGCTTCCCCCATAATCAACATCACTCACTAGAATGGTACATTTTCTATGAAGGATGAACCTACTTTGACACATAATAGTTCATTGGGTTCGGACAAATATATAATGACATGTATCCATCATCCTATATAATAAAAGGGTAATATGCAA